CAAATAATGTACCTATACACATATACAGGTATATTGTAAAATAATTTACATGTGGGTAAATAATGTACCTATATTTAATACAAATTATTGTGTACCTATTTTTAATTATGAAAAATATATGCAATTACAAAGTAACTGACTTTGTTTTTTTTTTGGTAAATAATATATCTATATTTTATATGTATATATTTATATTATATTTTTCATAGGTACATTATTGGATATGTAATTTACAGATTTTTTTTTTGTTTGCAATTTTAGTGGGCGAGATGTGAGAGGGAATGACAACTAAAAGAAATGGGGTGATTGATATGCTATTAATAGGGAGTATATTATTACAATTATGGCAGTTAATGAAATGCTTGAAATAAAATTATAAATAAAATATGAAGTTTAGTGGCAACGATGTAAAAACATAGAAATACTACGACCTCTTATATCCTACTGGTCATTTAAATTTGAAATTGGGTTTTACCCAAAGATTTATAGAGTGATGGGTATATGTCTAGAAAATAGAAAATGTAGGGGTCTATATTAGACAAGCCCAATTTTTTTATTGTAGATGAGGAACTTTAGTATCGGCGAATTTTATCCTATTAAACATGTTTACAAGTAGCATGAATAAGAAGAAATGAGATATGTTAAACAATGAATGGAAATCATATCAACTACTCATCTTAGCTTATTCAATTATTGATTTTTGGGGTATTTGATTAAGTATTTTAAGGTGGGAGTTGCATATCAAATGATTTTTTATGTGTAAATAAACGGATTAGAAGTCACAAACATAAATTTTTATTTTTATTCCCATTGCTTGTAACTAAACGTATATCCCTAATAAATAATGAATGACCCACCGCATTGCGTTGCTATTAATTTTACATCAATCATGGCAATGGCATTCCAGTAAATCTGTTTTGTATAAATCAAATATCATGATGCTTGACAAATGGGTGAAGCATGAATATGTCAGTGTCGCATTTGTGAAGGTCATGAACCCTAAAATTTTTCAACCCAAAAACCCCACCACCCTCCCATTTTTGGCCGACAAACTAAAACCCTCAAAAGTCCTTTCCAAACCTACTTTTTTCCCATAAATACATATCTGATGTGCCCAGCACGACTCAGAAAGAAAAGAAAAAAAAACTCGTGCCTTTGTTAATTGGAAAAGTCAATGTCGACTTCCATTGAAATGATGCTGTGGCTTGGCATCATAGGATTCTTGAATTCAGCAAAGCGATGTCGACTGTAGAACTCCAGGCTTGCACTATAGATATGGTCTCTCTGTGCGCCAAATGTCATCAAGAAGGCAATGTTTCAGCACTATGGGCCATGGAGTTCTTACTTAGACTCCAAGTTTGCAAGGGACAATACAAATAAAAGTAAAATAAAGCTTTTTGTATACCTCTCTCTCTCTCTCTCTCTCTCTCTCATGTGATAGATTGAGCCCACAATCTTACATCTTTGTTATAAATAAAAGACTAAATTATTGTAACAATGAATCCTAAATTATATCTCGATTTGTATTTTCGTTTTCGAATTTCAATAATTGTTGTTGTTATTATCAAATTAGGTCTTATGTTGTATTATTGATCATTTCCATCAACTAATCCGTCAAAGATTTTAGTAAATTTGGGATAAACTCATAGGCTTTTACTAAAACTTTTTGTGTGCCTCTTTCTAATATGTATCGACTTTGTTACATGCGTGTGGACCATTACAATTTGGAGGCTTTAATAATATGGAACCAAAGTACAAAATGATGTTATAGGCTGGGTAGGGTCTCTTCACAAATTGAATCCATCCATCATGGCCTTGTTCCACGCATGGCTACAGCCCATGTGATCTTTTCCTCTTTTTCAAGAGGTCAAACTTTGTCATTGCAAGTCATAAAGTTAATTAAAAAGTTTTTTTTTAATTTAAATTTTTTATAATAGGAGAAAGTTCATTATTTAGTTATTAGATAAAGAAAACCCCTCTTTATGTTGTTAAAAAATATGCCTATACGAAGAGACATCTTGGTTTAGCTTTTTTGTTTCGGGCCTTTTGGCCTCATATGCTCCACATAAAGAATTAATTTTTTATATGAAAACAGATAAAACAAGTGTTAAACTTTGGAGTTTAAATGTTTATTGTACCATTAAAGTTTATCTAATGAAGTTTATCTTTGATTAAAAAAAAACAAAAGAGTTAAACTTTGACGATAGATATGAAGGATGGTCCATCATAAAAGTTGCAAACCCTCGCAGTTATAAAAACAAGCAAAAATGTTTATCAAAATTCAAATTTCAATTTAGCTACAAATTCCCTTCCAATGAATGATATACCACTATTTAATTTCTATTTTGTTGAATAAGGTTATGAGTTTATATATTTCAAGAAATATAATTTATTTTTTTTATTTTTAAATAACATCATAGTAGGCTTGAAAAAAGTAAAAGAATACCAATGTTCCTCACAAAATACCAATGTTCCCCCTATATATGGCGACTCGTTTATGAAGCCCAAGTGCAAAACTTTTAGAGATTGATTAAATAGGTAGCAGAATCAAATTTCCTAGCTAACCTCTTGGATGTGCCTTGGAAAATTACAGATTTGAAAACCAATTAAACATGAACCCAATGATGAAACTCGAAGAAGACTTCATTTAAGTGAAAATTGAATTAAAACCCAGTGGAAAGATGGTTGCATACTAGTGATCTCATGTGTGAACCTCTATAACATTTTGATAGTGTGTGTGAGAAATTCCTCTTTTTATATTTTTTTAAAAAAGTAGTGGAAATCAAAGAGATCAATTCAGAAAATGAAGACAATTATGATAAATTTTAGTGAGTATTCTATGACTATAGCTAAAACCCTTATTTAGCGTACAAAATCTCACAATCTTGTTAGTGGGTATAGCTCAGTTGGTTGAGCTCTTCCACCTCCATCTATGTGGACAGAGGTTTGAAAACTCAAACACCCAATGAATATTTGTGTAAACCTCCCCTCTCCTCCCAATCATTTGTACTAAAAAAAGGATCCTAATGGATAACAAGCGGTGCTATTTTTCTTCATTAATAAGGAGTCGTCATTATAACTATAGCTTTCGAATCTCACATGACAATGAATTTGGTTACACTATGACATCATTTAATAACAATCCAAAATCCCATAAAAAAATGCTAGTTCCGTGAAGGTATGAATCATAAAAAATAAAATAAAAACCTTAATAAACTTTCATAAATAAAACATACCACAAAATTTGGGCCAAACATGATATTTTTACACATATACACACAATTTTTCTCCACGTTCAACCATGTCCATAGAATATTAAGGGCCTACTTGGTATCCTACTTGGATTCAATTTTATAAACTCAAAAATAAATTTTTAGTCCAAAGCCATAAAAAGACATTTGGTAGGCCAATTTTTAAAAACTCAAAAATATCCCCATTATTATAGTTTTTTTCCTCTCTCTCTCTCTCTCCCCTCCCTATCTCGTCTCCGTCTCTTCCTCCTCACTCTCTCGTCTCTATCACTCCTCACTCTTTCGTCTATCTCTTCCTCTCTTTCCTTTTTCTTTTGTTAATTTCAATTTGGGAATCTAGAGTTTCTGATTTTTTTAATTTTAATTTCAATTTTTTTAGATCTTAAAATAATTTGGAGTTCAATACCAAACAAGTTTTTAGATCTTAAAATCACTATTTGAAAACTCATGTTTTTAAAATAAATCATAGTTTTTAAAATTACTTTTTTAAGTAGAATACCAAACAAGATCTAAGTGATTATAGATTTTTCAAACTTTGGCCCACATCCTTTACATACAATTAGTACTATACGCAAATTTATCTATACAAAGAAAACGTGCCAAGAAAACTAGGATACGATTTTTGGCCAAAGAAGCTACCCTAATATTATATGATTTATATTTTTAAATTGTTATAAAAAAAACAGTGTTCTTTTTTGTAACTCTATCATTGTCCCATCCCCCTAAATAAAAGTATCAATTAAGAATTTACTTAAATGAAAAATACGAATACAAAAATAATTGAATTACCAACCCAAATATGTTGTGGCTACATTGCAGCCGAGGACTTCGCACACATGGGTAAACAATCTTTCCTGGGATCTAGAGATACATCACGAATTTTTTCTATGGTTACATTGAAGGAAATCGAACTGTAGACTTATCAGTCGTGACACACTGCCTCGCTTTTCCCGCTTTACTGGTTTCCTCAGTTTCAACCGAAAATCCCATTTTTTTTGTAATTTGTTCCGATTTAATTCAAACCGCACTCTCTCCACCCATCGTTCTCATCGATCTCCGATTCCGTTATTCCGAAAATAAAATTAAAAATTAAAAAAAAGGCCCAAAAGAGTTTGAGAATTTAAGACGGAGACTCGGAGAGAGAGAGAGAGAGAGTGCCGGCTTTACCTAATTAATTCATTTAAAAAATAATAATTATAATTAGGATACTTATTAATACACTTTTTTCGTAACCTCCGATTCTTCTCTCTCCAAACAAACAAAACGACGCCAACGCCACCGCACCAAACAAACATATATGCTCACAACTCACAGCAAACAGAAGAAAGAAGAGAGAGAGAGAGAGAGAGGAGAGAGAGCTTTGTAACCGATTCTACAATGGAATCTGAGTCACAGATCTTCGAGAAACCCTAGCTTTTTTTCTTCAAGATTCTCTCCCATTCCTCCAAGAACCGCTTCTAGCTCTCTCTTCACTTCACCTCCATCGCCGCACCTCTTTTGCTCGTTTTCTTCTTCACCTCCGTCTCCGATCGAGCTCTTTCGTCTTGTTCGGCGAAGTGCCAGAAGCTCCGGTGCTCGCTCTTACAGCTCTGCAATATTTCGGCGGTTCGGTGCCGGTTCGCGCTGCATTTCCGATTCCAGCAAGTTTCCGGTGAGACTGAGAGAGGAAAGAGAGAGGGAGCTTAGGGCTAGGACCTGCGGTGATTGATCGGATTGTTGATTGTGGTTATGGTGTAGTGGATGAGTATTATGGACGATAGAGGAGGCTCATTTGTCGCTGTTCGGAGGATTTCTCAAGGTCTCGACCGTGGCAACACCTGCCATTCAACTTCTGGTAGTCTACGCTTACTCTCTTTTATTTTTCTTCGCTTTTTCTATTTTTTTCCTATTCTCTCTCTCTCTCTCTCTCTCTCTCTCTTAGAAAGAAAACTTTTTCTCTCTCTAAAACTTTTATCTCTTTCAGCGTTTGTCCTCTAAAAAAAAATTCGGAGCTTAGATCTGCTACTCAGATTTATTGAGCTCCTAGTATCGCTGAAGTTATCACTCCTTTGATGTTTTCTGATATTCTAGATTGCTGTGGTGCGTGAGCCAATTTTATATATTTTTCTCTATTTTTTCCTAATTTTGTGATTATAGTGTATGCAAGTTTTGGTTGAATTGAAATTTTGATTCGTCACACAGTTACCTTTTCTCTCACTTCTGAATGCCTGTTTTAATTGATTCCATCCTAGTTCTCAACAATTGATGTAACTTTGTAATTCTTCAATTGTTTGGAGCTTTCTAGCTGAAACTAAGGGAAAATGCATGCAAAAATTGGTGAAAGAGCAACGAGTTCATTTTACAATAGTGTATGTGTGGTGAATTTTGAGTGGTTTCCTGCAACACCACTTTCATTGTTATTGCAAGTTTTTATCTACTTGTATTGAACTTTATGGTGCTGATTGGTAGCCATAATTTTACAAATTAGCTTAGTAGTGTGGTCTGTGGAGCCTGAACTGTTTGTCTTTAGATTTTATTATGATTTAGCTTGCATTAGCTGCTTATTATATTGTCCCTGTTTCTTGGAACTTCCTTTACTCTGAAGTGTGGGAGCTCAAATTTCATTTCACATGCAGGCCCCCATGGGTGCTAAGAAATGTTATTTATTATTTTTATTAATACTATCCGTAGTTTTAAATAGATTGCATATTTCATAGTAATTGCAGTAGTTTAGCTGATCTTAACATCTGTCTTGTTCTAGAAATCATACAAACCTTTGTTGTTTATCACATACTATTCTTATTAGCTGAGCTTAAATTAGTGAAGGGTGGTTGCACATTAAATCTGAGGCCCTTTTACCCTATGATGGGAGATGAAATCTTAATTAATGATTTGAGCTTATATACTTTTATGTAACCATTTTTCAGTACGTCTAGATTTTTTTTGATGATTTAAAGACTCTAAACTTAATCATTGGGTGGTTTATTTTGTTGCAGCTGAGGTTGTGGCAGGATCAGCAGCGTGGCTTGGCCGAGGTCTTTCTTGTGTCTGTGCACAGAGAAGAGAGAGTGATGCTCGTCCTTCCTTTGATTTAACCCCTGTCCAGGTAACATGCTTGGAATTGGATAAACTGTATCTGTCCGTTATATACGCCAGTGTGAATTTACTTTTTAGATATGAGTCCTTGGTTAGCAGTTAATGAATTGTATTCGTAAAGGGAATTCTTGTTCTATCTCCAATGTGATGTACTTGAATACCAAAATTTCCTGAATGTAACACTTCCAGTTTCTGATTTTATCAACGCCTTTGATGCATCCTATTTGTTTCTCACACTTGGACTTCTTTATGCAAGGAGTTGCTCTATAAATTTAACTAGATTTCTATGTTTTTTTGGGGAGTTTCTGCATGAACTTTTAGGGCTCTTTGCTATTTGAAATACCTGGTCAGTTTAGGCTAATCTGATTACACTAGTATTTTACTTTGACTGGGGGTGGAAAGAGATGTGAGGCTGTCATTAAAATATAAAATAGTATCAGGACTTCTCTGTTCTTGAGATGAATGCATAGTTATTTTAATTAACCTAGCTTCTGTATTGATTGGCTATTTATCTAGAAAAAGTTGTGCTGCTGCTTTATCCATTCACCTTTCAGTTGCTTAAATTTTTTGTCATCAGCGTTGGTAAAATCAAATGTCGTCTTGATCTTTTAATAACCTTGAGTTTATATGCTAAATTTATACCTTTCTACTCGTTGCTTTTTTTACTTTAGGTTTGGTTTTAAGTTTTGGTCTGTGGGAAGAGGGGAAGGATTGAGGGGTTCAAGAAAGCCGTGAAAACTAGTTTCAGGTGGTAGAAATGATTATGAATTGTGGTATAATTTTGAGGAGTTTAAATCTGGTTTTTGTGCTGCTTATGGTCATACAAGATCTTTTTTGAAAATTCTGATTTTTTAAAAGTTGATATGGCCCTAGAGAACTTTTGGAGGGTCATGAAGTTATAATTGTAGACTGATTGGATTGTGCTCTGCGACTTAGTTGTATAGGCCAACATTGTGACAATGTCACTGGAATTTATCTACTATAAACAAATTTAGGAGTTTTCGAAGATCCAGTACAGCTTTATTTCTTTAGTTGCCAATGGTCTCTATATAAATGCTTTCCTAGAACTGTAGCACTCAAAACATATGCTTTTGTTACATGTACATGGTATGATTGTTTGCTCTTTTGTTTGCCTTGATTTTGTCAGGAGGAATGCCTGCTGAGACTACAGAGCCGGATAGATGTTCCCTATGACAGTTTAGTCCCTGAGCATCAGGTATATATATTAAGTGATTGGTTCCAGGAAAACCTGATTGTGTTTGTGGGGAGGATTTGCATTATTTTTAATTTTTTGTCTGTGTACATAGTCCATCAACATATTTTACATTGGCACTTGGTATGACGAATTTACCCTCTCTGGTTCACTCTAGGAAGCTTTGAGGGCCTTGTGGAATGCTGCCTTTCCTGAAGAAGAACTTCGTGGTTTAATATCTGAGCAATGGAAGGAAATGGGTTGGCAAGGGAAGGATCCATCAACAGATTTTAGGTAGATCTAGTATCTCCTTTGTGATTTGAACAGTTAATTTGTTTCTTTTATTTATCTTTTTCCTTCGTTCTTGGGTTACTAATTGTTGATGTTGAATATTTTGCAGGGGTGGTGGTTTTATATCATTGGAGAATTTGTTGTTCTTTGCTAGGAATTTCCCGGTATGACCTCTGTCTGTCTGTATACACATGTGCACAAAAACAATTTTCACCTGCGAGATGTTGTGAACATAATAATGCTATTGACGGCATTGATCATGTGGTGACGTCAATGTGATAAACTGCTTTGAGAGCCCCTGACATCCCATACTTTTTATGTTTGTCAAACCTGACATCCCAGACTTAACAAAAGTAAAAATGCCTTTCTGTATATTACAAGAGTGTAAATGCCTTTTTCTGTATATTGTCTTGAAATCAGAAAATATACTGGTCAAAATGACTTGAATACTAGTTTGTTATAGATTTTTAGGTATGCATTCAATTCTGTTGTTGAAACTTGGGGAAAACATACAAAGGAGATAGTTAGTAAGAGAATTATAATTTTTTTTTCTTCATGTTTATACCCTGCAAGCAAGAAAACTGATGGTTAAAGAGAAGAATTGGAATCCTAGATTTAAAGCCTTTGAAAATTCCAACCATGCGAGTTGGATTTTCATATACCATTGACATTACATGCATTAGCAGATAAATTTTGAGCCCTTGATTTTTGGTTCTGTCCATCTTTGTAGGGCAGCATGATTTGTTTTTCTTGTGTTACATTATGTACTTTCTGTTTATTTTTATTGTGAAAAAAACCAGCATCATTCCTCTCTGTGGGTGTGTACCAATATGCTTCTCTGTTTGGCTGTTCTTGCATGTGTGGTGTATGTTCTTTTAGGTTCTCATAAAGTTGCTGGGCCCTATAGGGAACTGCGTTAGGCCCATCTTATAAGCTACTTGTCTCATTGAAAGTTACATACTTTCATTGTAGAAATCTTTCCAGGATCTTCTTCGAAAGCAAGAAGGTGATAGGTCCGTGTGGGAATACCCATTTGCCGTTGCTGGTGTGAATATAACATTCATGCTTATTCAGATGCTTGATCTTGAAGCCGGTTGGTACTTTTTCTTGTTCTTTTTTTTTCATTTATGTTCAAAAAGCGAAACCTGAGGAATCAAAAGCATAGTGATACTGAAAATATTTTTAGATAGTAGCTTTTCTGTTCTTTTAATGCTCTTTGACACGTAACAGTGTTTGTTTATGTGCAGTCAAACCACGAACATTGGTGGGAGCTACTTTCTTGAAGTTTCTTGCAGGTAAGTTCAGCTTGAATATGATGTTTCATGTATTTTGCTTAATATAACAAAGTCTTTTTCTCTTGACAGAAAATGAATCAGCGTTTGACCTTATATATTGCATCACATTCAAGCTAATGGACCATCAATGGCTTTCTATGCGTGCATCATATATGGATTTCAATGTATGTATCCCTCAAGCAGAAGCCCTCCTTTTGTCTGCATTTGTGGCTAATCTTTTGATATATGTTATATCCTTCTAGTCAGCTTTAGTAAACCAAATTATGTGAAATTAGTGACAGTTAAATGTGTTTGTGGGGAAAACCTCTTCCGTCATCATGAGCTGGAGATGAATTTAGGGTTACATATTTTATCTTGTAGAAATTTCACACTTCTCTGGGGGTGGTCAGAGATTTTTAGGTTGGGCCCAAGGCTATAATGTGTTTTACACGTTTTGGTTTCTTTTGCTAACATTTTGTCCTATTTGGGTTGTGCTCCTAACAGACGGTGATGAAATCCACACGCCGGCAGTTGGAAAAAGAGCTTCTGTTTGAAGACATAACACGGCTGGAAGACTTGCCTTCTTATGGCCTTCTTTCCCGATAGCGTAGAAGCTTCTTCTAGAATCTATAAAATGGTCTGTCACAGCTAGTTACATGATCACCGGAAACACTCTTATTTCTAACTGGATGGTGTTTGTACATGACATGATGTTTCCAAAATTTGCTTGCTGCAAGTCTGCATTTTGTCATTGATTCTTGGAAAGGGTTTTTGGTGTTTAATGGATCGAGTTTGTTAGAAGCTGGAACCAAGTGTGATTTGATTCAGGTTTGAAATACGGAATATAATCTCGTAAATTTGGGGTAAGACCAGAGCGATACTACTCTCGGTTCTCCCACGGCCAACGGGATGTTATACATATGTAGAGGTATGATTGGTAATTTGGTAGAATACCTAGGAATGTGGAATGGAATGGGATTCTGTTTGGCTTTAACTTTTGAGTGTTTTCTGAAATATTATTATTTGACCAACTGAGAAATGATCCTTGGTGGGCACGGTACTCTTATGCCTGAAAGCCGCCCCGTTTAAAGTCTTGTATTTCTGCCTGACAAATGGAGATGGAAATTGTTCTCTTTTGGACATATGCAGAATGAATCTTCTTATTTTTCCATCTAGTTTGCGTTTTAATTGCGAATCCTAGAATTTTCAGGTGTCTAAGTCTGTCAACATGGTCGTAGATCACGTGTTATCAGTCTCAACTTTAATAGTCTATGCTCCCAAGTCTTTATTCCTGTTATTTGATGGAAATTGTTTTTGTGCAAAAATAAAGTGATCGTTTGCTAATGACATAATTATTACCATAGGCTGTCTTTTATTCAACAAAGCATCTTGGAAAATTGTTGGCAAAAAGAAGATAGTTCATGTTAATTCCCAATAATACTTCTAGTTAGGCAGTTAGGTAGAAATCAGATTCTAGATGACAAGAAAGAAACATGATTCTTGAGAAAAAGGAAATTCCTCCTCACCAATATTCCATGGACAAGCTTGAAAAGCATACCAACAGCCTGATGGCACGTTTCCTTCGACCAAAGAATTTTATGCCTAGATGTTCATACACGTAACAAATTAAACTTTATAGCCAAAGGATATTTTACCCTTGAATCAGAATCCCACATCGCATCTTCGACATCTTTCAAGAAACAACCTTCCGTAATAATTAAACTTACTCAATCCTCTTTAATTACAAAACTTTATGCTCCGCTTGAATGAACAACCTAATATACCCAATTCTGTTGTAAAAAAAGTGGTAGAGTCCATATAAAGAAAAGAAGGAAATAATATTCAAAAAGCTTAATGATGATGTTGGAAGCCATCCAATTTGCCTATAAATAGGCTTCCAATTGCTTAGCAAAACACGCCAACAGAGATGAGAGATGAGAAAGGGAGAGTGAGAGGAAAGAAGAGAGTGTGAAATCTAAGTGTTAGGAAGTTATATTTGAGAGAATAATACCAGAAGAGCAAATATAATTCCACTCCCAATATTCAGTGGTACTTTTCATACTTTGATTATTTTATTTTTATAATACATTATCAGCTCGATAGTCTCTCCTCTTTACGTCTAAATTTTCCCAGCTCAACACTATGTGGTTATTTCTCTGTCTCCTCTCTGTCATATGTCTCCTCTCACTTTACTACTACGACGACATGCAAACTTTCTTTTTTGTATTTTCACAATTTTTATGTTGTTTCATCCATGTTTATTTAATTTATTTTTTCGTACTGTAATTTGGAATGGTGCGGTTTTATACCCCATCATATTATTTTATGGTGGTGTAATTTCATTACACATCACGTTGTAACACATATTGTCGTAATAAAAATGATGGTGTGATCTTAAAACTCATCTTGTTATATCTTGAATAGTGGCACAGTTATATTGCCCACAATATATAATATGTGGTGGTTTTATCCCTGCATTTACTGTATGGTGTAGGTTTATTACCCATACAACAATATTTATTTAAAAGTGTGGCGTGAGTTTATCATCCACACAATTGCCTTTACTTTTTATTTAAAAGTATAGAGTAGAATTAGTGCCCATATCAGTACATTTACTTTATCGCACATTTACTTTATTATTTAAAGTATGGTGCGGGATTAACGTCCATACATGAAGCAATTTAATTTATGAATTTATTTTCCCACACATTTACATTTATTTAAAGTATGGTGCGAGATTATCGTCCATACCAGCAATTTATTTACAAGAAATTTATAGCAACTTATTTTATGAATTAATTGTGTGATATGATGAGTTTTACAGCATATAAAGATCAGAACTAGAAGTTCCTTGATCCTTATCATACAACTACATCAGGACCTGAAGATCCTTGATGATGATAATGATATGAGAGTCGGCAGTCTTTCCGGTACTATATTTGTAAACAAGAGATTGGACCTCAAGATCCTTAATCCTTAACATGTAAATAAGGACTTGGAGTTTCTTGATAATGTAACAGTACCATATTGGTTAATAGTGCCGTACACATAAATAGTAATTGTATTGGCAAATGTATTGTACGCATGAATAGACACATATTCATGACTTGATGAATAGTATCATATAAATGAATAGTGACGTATACATAAATATAAACTATTTTGGATAAACCGTCACTATATACAAAAGGGAATCTGCAGTTCATTAAACTCATGGATGAGCAATTAAATGAGAAGCCAGAAGCTCCTCAAAACATAGACAATTTTGTAAGGGCATGAAGTCCCAAAATATGTACAGGAAATTATAAAAATGTACATATCATAAAAATATGCGATTTTGGCCTGAAGATCAAAATCTGACAATATTGAGTACCTGAAGTTCCAATAGTTAAATGGACAACTCTTGAGGTATTATTGCAAATTGTGGTACACCACATATTTCTTTGGCATAAGAAAATGATGAATTTAATAAAGTTCGATTATGTTATAATCGACACCTTAAGGAAGAAATATATTTTGTGAATTCTGGTTGTTAAGAATACACCGTGAAATGGATAATATCAGGATAAACCTCAAAGGATGAATTGAGGCTCCCCACATATTTTGTTATATTATGTGATCTAGGCCGGAAGCCTATGGATCCAAATATATGAGAGATCCCGAACCTGAAGTTTTGGGTATATAGTAGTTAATGCTCTTCACTACTATATTGCAATATTATCATGGCTTTTACTCAATTTATATTTCATGCCCATTTGAAAAAGGCAAATAAATTTTCAAGTCGTGTTTTAACCTGGGCCAAAAGTTCCGGACTCACATGCATTGAAATATATAATTTGAGAGATTTGATGTGGTTATTTGAACCAATAAGGCACAAGGTGGGCTAAATTTACCTTACATAAAAATTTACTAAATTTTGATGGTTTCATATCAGTGGTCCAAAAAGATAGTCATGAAGATATCAGGGGGAGCATCCAACAATATTACAAGATTGATTCACAAAAGCAGTCTCAACTATGACATTTAGAAAGATGATTGTATGGCTTAAAAGATATTTTGCCAAGCATCAAGGGGAGCATGCTGTTAATAAAGATCTTCACACACTGTATTCTTTTTCTTTCATCCAAGTTTTTATCCCACTGGGTTTTTCCTGGCAAGGTTTTAACGAGGTAGTGTCGCACGCATGTCAATATACACAGAATTTTATGTTATATACGGTTATGTACTCTTTTTCCCTTTGACAAGTTTTTTGTCTCACTGAGTTTTACTGGCAAGATTTTTAATGATGCATATTTTATACATTGTGGTCTCCAAAGGGGAGTGTTGTAAAGAAAGTGATGGAACCCACATAAAGAAAAAAATGAAATAATATTCAAAAAGCTTTATGATGATGATGTTGGAAGCCATCCAATTTGCTTATAAATAGGCTTCCCATTGCTTAGCAAAACACACCAGCCTAGAAGAGAGGAAAGAAAGGAAGAGAAGAAAAAGAGGGTGAGAAGAAAAAGAGGGTGAGAGGAAGGAATAGAGAGTGAAATATGAGTGTTAGTGAGTTGTAAACACCAGAAGAGCAAATATAATTTGTAATTATTTTATTTTTATAACAAATTCTCCTTAATTAGAAACTTTATGCTTCGTTTGGATGAAGGGATTTAAAAGAAAATATTTAAATTTCTAAATTTGCTAAAGAAACAAGAAAATATAAGAAAATCAAGGACCTGGAATTGGATTTCGAGAGCATCATTTAATTACGAATTTTAATGTTCTTAGAATAATTTTAAATCCATTTATTTTCTTCCATTTCATTTTTGTCCAAATCTTGACATCCATTTTCTTCCTTTCATCTAAATACCGAGATTCAAAATCACTCGATCCAAATGGGGCCTTCACTTCAGAGGTTTCATTTCATACATAACATGCCAGAAATATAGATAAGAAAACATGATCAGTATGTATCAAATTCTAACAACTTTGGACAGCATTCAACAACTGACAAACGTTCATAACACACCCAAAGGTTATTAGCTGTTAGAATTCAACAAGTGACAAAGGTTTCATTACTACTTAACTTGAAACTTCATTTCAAAGGGTACATAACACACCCAATGGTTCTTAGCTGCACTACTTAATCTCTCTGGCATATCCAATGCTCCAAGGCAATAGGAATCACCAGACCCAAACAAATGGCAAAACTTAAAACTTCATTAAAAGACTAGTCCGAAAGTAAATAGGATGCTGGACAGCAAGCGGCAGACTAATCGAGCATGCTTTACTCATAGATCCAGTGGTGAACGCTGCTCTGCCAGTTAGCAGGGCCATCAGGGAACCACAGTGCAATCTCTTTCCTTGCACTCTCTGCTGAGTCACTTCCATGAATGATATTCCTGTAAGCCATCCAAATGTCATCGCATCAAATACATTCATATTCTCAGTGCCTGTTCTTTATGATTAGTTTGTATTCTAGAAGCAAACAGCAACCTCAGTGAATAAATCAGTCAAAATACTCTCTGAAGAAATTCACTAGAAATTGAAATTTATGAGAATAACACAGGAGATGCAATCAAACCATAAAACTCCTGGAGAGATTGGACCATTGTGTTTCTGCCTAATCGGAATCATCAACAACTTTAGTAACAATCAAAGGTTCAAACAATCTATTTGAAACAGCTTTCCCATTAACATAATAAGCTATTACTGCTGAGCACTTTCTAAAGAGAACAATTTGGGATCACATTATGGCCATCAACAGTACCTATATACTCATCTTTCAGACCAAAAAATTAAAACATAATAATTAAAAAAGTTATAAATGCATAAGAGACTGGAAAACATGGTAAATCAGGTTACCTGCCAATCTCAATTGCATAATCACCACGGATGGTTCCAGGGGCGGATTCTGCTGGGTTGGTGGCACCAATAATCTTTCGGCCAGTTAGGATAACATTCTTACCCTCCCAAATCATAGCAACAACGGGGCCAGAAATAATATAATCAACCAATCCACTGAAAAAGGGCTTTGCAGACAAGTCCTCGTAGTGTTTCTCAGCAAAAGGACGATCCACATTGATGAACTTCAAACCTGAACAGATACCAGAAAACAAAACTTATTGATAAGAAAACCCTGGTAAGTTACACATCAAAATTTAGTTAAGCACCCCAAAAAATTTATTGTAGTATAATTAAAACATAGAAACTCTAAACATTAGTTTCAATTTAGCATCTTTCCACACTACTTAGATAAACAATGAAGAAGTAAGCCAAACTCAAATCAAATTTGAAGTCGGAATTTTTTGGCCAGAAATTCATCAAGTTGATAATCATGATAAAATAGGAAAGGCTTGTTAAATAGGGTTGTCACATCACAAATTATCAACGTGCAGATAATACTATTAGATCAAACATCGTTGGTTGGAAATTACCTTTCAAATAGAAGCCCTTCTTCTCAAACCTGCTAATGATATCACCAACCTGCGACAAACATGAACCTCTCAGAAAATTTGAAAACGTTTTTGCAAATAATTAAACAATACGCACGAATTAGATTAAAATAGTTTATTGGATTCTGCGTAAGAAAAAACTATGGCCGAAGTTACAGAGGACGGCCTTTGATCACCCACTTCACACATCCGGAGGCAATTAAAACGCAAGATTAATTAGAACTCCATGCATGTAAAATCCAACCACTACATACTACAAATATTAAAACTTCATGCATGTAAATAAAAACCTGAAATCCCAGCTCAGAATTATTAAAATTTGCTTGCTCCCCCAGTCCACCCAAAAGAAAACCAACCCCTTCAATTCCTAGGTTTCCCCACCAACCAAACACCATACCAGTAACACTTGCTATGAAATTCATAAACAAAAACAAGGCAAACCCACTCAAACCCAGATAAGATTTTGCCCAGTTTTTAAAACTAACAGACCAAAATAAAGCTACAAAATTGAAGTACCAAAAGAATACAATAGATGAAGAAATTGAAGAAATTACCAGGCCTCTTTGAACCCCATCAGGCTTGATCATGATGAAAGTTTGCTCCATTTTTTCCGTTGACGATTTAAGACTGCAGAAGTGCTTGTTCTGAGAGTGGGGATATGCTATGAGACTGAAAGAGTGAGGGAACGAGGGTTTATATACACAGTCCACTGAAAGCAAACCCTAACACCAATTGCTATGGAATATTCGCGAACCATTTTTTCATTTTGTCATTTCCCTTTCTTTTGCTTTTCGGTTTTCAAAATAAAAAATAAATTGGGCTTACCATAGAAGTTGGGCTTCATTATGTAACCTCTGAAGGAATATGGAGCATTCGACTTTCTTTGAAAATTGGGCTTAAATTGGGTTTTAAGCATAACCTCCAGCCTCAGGTGGCTGGTTCTTAACAGTGAAGAAACACATTGGGCTTTTGATTTCTCTTTCTACACTCCTTTGTGCTAGGGCGTGGCATGACTTTTCAATACAAACTCAATTCTGGATGAAAATGTTGGGAACCCAAGTATTTGAATTGATGAATTAATTTGTATTTATAACTTATTTTTGTGACTATTTTGCCCTTGAAGTTAAGTAATGGAAACAAATTAAAATCCTTGATTTATGGAAATGCTAGCAACCTTCTCTCTAATTTTCTCTTTTGGATATTCTCCCTTCTCCTCATGACAAGTGTCACTTTCCTTACACTTAAAACAATATCATTAATGCATCACACAAGTTAGTTTTTGTTTTCCAAATTTACCCTTATTAAATGTATTAGTTTTTATATTTCCTTCAACTTATCCAAATTTTGTTACAAGAAGGGTAAATTTGGAAAACAAAAACTAATTTGTGTGATACATTAATGACATTGTTTTTAAGTGTAAGGAAAGTGACACTTGTCATGAGAATGTCCAAAAGAGAAGATTAGAGAGAAGGTTGCTAGCATTCCTCTTAAAGCATTGTCACTCTTAAATTTTGAATTTGAATTTTAAACATTTATGGCTAAAATAAAAATAAAAAATTCAAAACTCATATAGATCAAATTAAAAAAAAATGGTATTATAAGTATAATGCACATAAGTTTTTATTATGTCATTAATTTCAAAGCAACTAAAGAAAGTTTTGTTTTTGTAAATAATAAATAAAAATGAATATTATTAGGAGTAATATGGGGGGTCAGAAAAGTCAAACTATGATCATTAATATGATAATTAATGAAAATTTTGATCTCAAAACCCCAAAAATAGGCCTAAATATACATTGAACCTAAAAAAACTCATGAGTTTTTCCCTATGAATGCTTGTGGTTTTAGGTTAATATATAATTTTCTATTATTTAAAATAGATATAGGCAAGGCAAGGGACTTGTAACTCAACTCCGAGGTCTTGTGCTTGAATCCTCTCTTCTTTGATATTGCTTTTATCAAAATAGCAAAAAAGGGTATGAAAGTAGATATGGGCTTAGCCAAATTGACTAGAGCGGATGAGCAAATTACCCTCGAGTATTGAGCTTATGATTGGAATTTTTTTGGCCATTTATTTGAAATATACATGGAAATCCCTCCCTCCCTTCCATAGGAATGGGTAAAATACCCGCATAGCCAGTCTAAGGCCAAGGGTTGCCTGCCCCCGCCCCCAACCCCCTTCTTGCTAAACTCCTAAAGGCCCTTTTGGTTCTCACTTGGATGGATCTGACTTCAGCGGTGGTAGTCTCTTCTGCCAAGGCTTGTCCTTCACTTGCTGTGCTAGAGGATCTGGTGGATAGGAATGAAAAACTCAGCGTAGGTCTTCTGGGAGGATTGAACTTCTCGACAAAGAACTTCCAATGTTTAATCCTACGAGATGGAAATGTAGGATGTTCATTCCCATGTTTGGGAACACTAAGGAAGACTATTTTCTTCCATTCCCATGTTTGGTTTGTACAATATTAGGAATGAAAAGTTGTTTAGTTTTCCAACAATACCTTTGATTTTTCATTAATTAAAAGTTATTAATACTAATAGGTTTTTAAGGGTCAAAAGTGGTATTTAAAATTATAAGAAGGGTAAGTAAGTCCAAAAAATTGCATTAAATATTTTCCCAAGTGGAGGGAAAAAGTTTCCCAAGGTGAGCCAAGGGTATGAAATTTTCCCCTACATGAGAAGTTCATACTCATGAGTTAAGTATTATATTCCCGATAATGCATTTACTAAACATGAAAATACAATTTCATACTCATTTTCAAGCTCCAAACCTTAACAGTGCATTTGAATGAGGAAATTTAAAAGTACAAAGAATTTCTTAAATAACGGAAATTAATGTTCTAGAATTTGTAAAGTTTTTTGTTTGGGTGACGGATTTAAAACACGAAATTTAACCTTTATTTGTAAAGTTATCTTTTTTAAAAACTCAATCTCTCTTAGGATTTTAGAAATGACGACTTTTAGATATAATTTAAAGTTGAGATTTATGATCTCTAAATTCCATGTTTTTTCCCACGCGGAATTTCTAAATTTCTATGTTTTTTTAATCCAAACACGGGAATTAGTTTATGTCAATTTAGAAATTATGAGTTTTGTCAAAATCCCAAGTTTATTTCCCTCATCCAAACACACTGTAAACCAAACAATATTTAGCTTTATTGTATAAGTTCTAAATACTTATGTATTATTGTTGCCGACGAAGAAATGCATAGCGTAAACGTTTCTTTCGTTTTTGTTTTTTTTTCCTTTTCTTTCTTTGCTTAGTTTCAAAACGATATCTTTTTATATAATACTAATTAGATCTGCAATCCACATTCGATAGTTTTAGTCAAAAGTATGAGACAACACAAAATTTGCTTTAGACTTGGATATAGTTCGTGATAGCAAAAGTTGGTGGGGATGGCTGAGTCTCACCTGCAGGCTGTAGCTAGAGACATTATAATACTTAACTTCAAAATTCGAAGGTGATGTTTTAAATTGATGAAACAAAAAATACAAGGGTGGTGACTATGGTTGAGACAAAAAAGGACCCACCAAAATATCCGATGGCTCACTCCATCATCATGAGATTTGGAAGACTTTAGAAATTGATTGTAAGGGTCATGATTGTTGCATGGAATTCAGCACATATACTGCCCCCTCTCTCTATCTCCAATTGCTTCGAATTGTAATCTTTTTGGGAGAACACTAATTACACCTTTGAAACTTGTATCTAGAAATCATGAAGATGTCGGATCCTTATAGGTAAACTGAACTCTTGCTGATTGTTTTTCATTGCAATTTCACAAGTAATGTTGGTTGCTTCAATTCATGGAATCGGTTTCATGAATAATATTTCTTCGTCTTATTGTAAGGTTCCAACCAGAATAGCAACCCATTCAGTTGCCTCTCTCTCTCTCTCTCTCTCTCTCTCTCTCTCTCTCTCTCATAAACATACAGACAATAACAAATCAATGGGGGACTTGCCACCTCCACCTTTCTCTCTTTCTACCTTTAAACTGGTGGGTTTTAAGAACTAACAACCATTTTTCGCATTTGCAAGAGCATATTGATTAACAACTTAAGTGAATATAATGACACATTGAGATTAATCTAGTCTCTTGGAACTGTAGGAAATTGTCCATTTTTTCTTATTCTCCCCAACCAGGTTTAATCATTTATGTTCTGACTAACTAACCGTAAAATTAATCCCCACAATTAAGGCAACTCTAAGATTTTAAGAGCCCTGTACAAAACGAGTAAGCAACAAAAATTGAAACAAAAGATAAAATTTTGAGAGCCCTGTTCGAGTCCACTCATAACAAATTTGACTTAAATTCAAAGTTCATTCGTGTGAGTACTTGCTTGGTGACTTGGGATTTTGAATTAATGCCATCTTCTATTCCACCCTAGAATTTTCCTGTAAGGACGTCCTTATTCTTAAACCCAAAAAAAATAATTGGCCATCTTTTCTAGAGCAATTTTATGATACAGTTCAATGATGGAACTAATCATCATGTACAGCTCATAACTTCATCAAATCTGTAGAATTGAGTGCATAATGATTTTATTTTTTCAATAATACAGGGACACCAAATTTGATGATGTGGATCCCGAATTATGTGTAATTGAAAGGAATTTAAAGGAAATTAGGCCAGTTGATGTATTGCAAAAACATAGGCTATAGAAAGAATGGAAATTAAAGCAAATATGGCAACAACAAAAAATGATACTGATCTGATCTGCTTGGGTTATATAGAATGGTGGTGGAGCAATTGTTAGGCGGTGGTGGGATATTTTGGTTTTGATTCGGGCTTTGGTTAAATCAATATTATTGTTTTATTTTTTTTAAAAAAATTTAACCTTTAAAATACATGTAAGAAATTTTGTTAAATTTTAAGTATATATATATGTTATAAAAGCTGCTGATGGCCCATGGCATATCCAAAAATAATAGTTCTTCTTCCTTGTCTATGTAACATCATGAAAAAGCAGCACCAGCCTTCCACTATCGTATCCTTAGCACTACTACTACAACTACACCACTTTGACCTCCACAATCGTTGTAGTGCCAATCTGCAACTGCAATAATATGGTTAGTTATGCAGATGATGTCCCCTCACCTACACTACGCCAACAACTCAAATTTTCTTATCTTTCTTTCTCAGTTAATTTGAGTCAATATTTAAAATTAAAAAAGAAAAAGAAAAAAAGAACAATGCTCGGAACCAGTGGCGGATGTAGGATTCAAAAGTCAGGTAGGCGAAACTTACCTCAAAAACTCGACAGTACGAATGAATTTCATTCATAAAAATAAAAAGATACATCTAGTTGGGGAGAGCGTAATGAGATTCACCCTCAGATATAAAAACTTAACAAAAAAGAAAAAAAAACTAAAAAAACAAATTAATGCAATGCAACAAAAAACTAAACTATTTAAATCTAAAACTAAATTAAACTATTAAAAAACTTAAGATGCATACATTTATTTTAGGAAAAACCCAATAGAAGAATACTTATTGGCCTTAGATATGAGAAAATGCTACCAAGAGAGAATGTCCAGACTCAAGAAGAAGCTTCAAAAGATAATAATTTGAAACTGTCGACTATTGCACAACTGAAAGGGAAT